GTAAAGTAATTAAAACGTCAATCAGCGATATCACTACTTCACGAAACGTTCTGAGATTTAAGGTTTTATTTTGACGCGGGAGAATATTGCACGATGTTACTGTTATGCCCGCTTGCCGCCAACTGGAAGTTGGCTGCAGCCGGATGTGCTAGGTATTTTTGTAGCGGGAAAATGTTGCATCTTTAAAATAGCTATGTGATAAAGTATCGATGTAAAATATCAAACGATGCCTCTTATATTTAATAACGTCAATGATGCAAATATAGATATATTTCTGTTGCGAAAAATTCCAAATTTCTATAATTAATTCATGAACTGGAATTATTAATTATTCTATTATACTAATGGAAAAACAAACCATTAGTATCTTCGGCAATGGTTCAAACACTCTATGCAATAATCACCAATAATGAATTAAATAACAAGAAATTAATATCGAGACTTATATTAGAAAGCTGGCTAAGGCTATTACGATACAATTATAAAAGTTGATGAATTAATTATCGACGTACGCGAAGTCACAGAAGAAGGTGAGTGATTTTGTGCGTGGTAAAAAATAAAATGAAACTACGATGGTTATATGCTTAGGTACTTTTTATTCACTTTGAAAGTTTCACATATACACGTTAATTGTGAACGACATAATTCTTCGGTTCTATTTTTGTATCTCTCAATTTATTTTTTATCCTTTCCTTCACTGCTCTGAAAATATAAATGTAAGACAGTCAATAAAAAATCCTACTTTCTATAACATAGTTACAACGTAAACAATAAACTAACTCTTTCTCTTTCTTTACAACTCCTAATTCTTCTTGAGTTTCTACTTCGTCGTCACTTTCCCAATCGCCATTATGGTCTTCCTTCCATCTTTTATTTGCAAGTCCAGGTGGTTCAACAGTTGGTTGTGAGCTTAATTTTGGATCAGTTAAATGATCATAAGCTCATTTGTCCTTACCACTAAACTTTTTATTTAATATCAAAGATTCTTTTTCATCTACCTCTGCTTCTTCACCAAATGATAAAAGATTAAAAAATCTCTGTAACAAAATTTTTCATTGTAAAGAATAATACTATCAGGGCTAAATTCTACAAACATATATGATTTTTATATTACTGCTGCTGTTTTAGTTTTTGAATTGTCCTTTATTTCTTCACTTTCCTGTACTATTATTCTTGGTATAATATCAGAAAATGAATTGTTCAATATTATAGTTTCTATCAATCTTGAAGAATAAAGTGATCTATCATTCTACAAAAAAGAGGAAATATTATATTTATATCAATTCTTGATATATTTTCTTGTATACATTAAATTTACCTCATCTACAAGTGCTTCTACAAGTTTAAGCATGTTATATATAGTTTCTCCAGTAACTTTACCAAAGATTGTATGTTTATTCTGCAAATCTAATGTAGAACTAAGAGTAAAGAAGAATTGGGAACCATTGTCATCTTTTCAGCATTAGCCATAGCAATTAAATCTCGTCGACAAAAACGTAATCTTGTATGAAATTCGTCCTAAAACACATATATCCAATAATTATTTTTAAATAAAAAAGGAATTCATTTTATTTTTAAATATAGTCTCACTTTAAATGGTTCTCCATATATTTTACCACCTTCTCCTGTACCTGTGG